AATTGCTTCTTCTTCCTCCTTTTCTCGTTTTAGTGAGTCGTTTCGAGCGAATAATATATTAAAATACTTAAATTTTCCTGTTAACTATTTCTCCTCCTTTTCCTTCTTCTTAATTTAGCCCAATAAATCACAAAAAATTAGTTCAATAAATATACAAGGTATATACTTCATGTATAGTTAAGCAATATTCAGCTTTTTGAGTGTATCATAATGTATAGTCAGTGTAAAGCTCATTTAGAGATAAGTTACATTTAACTTTTTGTGTGTATCACAATGTATAGTCGTTGTATACTTTCTATAACTTTTGACTATTTTTTATGTACATAAAACATGGCCATGTTTGTTTTAATCCAATAATTACTTTTATTGTATATATTTAAGATTATCCTAAAGTTGAGGGTGCTAATTAGTGTATTTTTATTTTATTTTTAAAACATCATTTACAATGATATGAGTGCTTAATTAGAAGATTTGATCCTGAAGTAGAAAAGCGACGCTAACCAAATAATCAATATTAAAATATTGGAAAAATCGTATGAAATAACAAATTATTAATTCAAATTAAATGTTATAGTCATAGTTTACTTTATTTGTAATTCGCAGCAAACATCCCATTTTTTTGACATCTGGTTCGGTATACAATTAGCCATTTTCGGTATACAATACCCATTCGGTATACAAATTTATAAAATGTATAAAATGCGTTTGTGTTTGTATAAAGCGAGAGAAAAGTGTATATACAAATACAAATACATATATTTTTCGTCCTATACACTTATAATTATACAAATACAGATCTTATTATACAAATTACAATTTATAAATGAATTTATACAAAACCGAACAATTTGTATAAAATTGGATGTATCTAGCGAATTATACAAATCAAAAGCTCCATAGCAAACATAAATTTGTTATGGAGCGCAATTATGCAAACTATAGTCATAGCATACAAATACGACTTTTATGTCTGCTATTTGTGAAATTTGCTCAATAAATAATGCATTTTGCTTTGTACGTATTTTAGGTACACTTTAAGATGTTGTAAATGTCTAGCACATGGTTCTACAACTAAGAACTCAAAAATTTAGGTTCTAAAACTTAAGGGTATACTTGGCGCTTGAATTTAAAATTTCATCGTATTATGTTGGAGTTTCACATATAAACATTTATAATTTTATGAAGTTTTCGAATATTGGAGTTTCATTTGTAAAAAAAATCAAAGTGCAATACATTGTGCTAGAGACTTTTTTTCTGTGCTCTATAATGAATAATTTTATTCAATTTTTAAATTTATTTTGTGTTAAAAATAATACCACTTCTCAGTTACGTTTTAAATTGTCAAATTTTAAATTAAATTAGTAATGTAAATAAATAAACTTACAAGTTTTTAAGTTGTGATATTATAGAAGCTTAATTGTTTTAAGTTTTGGAATTTTGAATTAAACCATCTAAATTTTTATATCTTTCAATAAGATTTTTTATAACAAGAACCAAGGTAATGTATTGAAATAAATGGGTAACATTTTGTTAACTTGAGACAATCCTTACTTAATATAAATAAGAATTACCGGCGAAGAAGTTGAATGATTAAATTTCTCATAAAAGTACTAGAATTATAAACTACTTTAATATCCGACAATATTTAATTTTGTCTATAGTACATATTTTTACAAGTTATATATGATTATAACATTATTTTGAGTCTTTAACTTTTGGGTCATAACACATAAGTTTCAGTCGTCTTAGTTGCCTATCATGTATTTATAGAAAAGAATTTGCGACGTAAGAAAATATATTTTAAAAGAGGAAAGGAAAAATTCAATTACGTAGAAATTTCTGTTGCGCAATTGCTGAAAACGTATTAGTGTCACAATTGACATTTAACGTCTCTACTTTTTATGAGAAAATACAAACAATCTTTTTGTTAATTTTGTGATAGATGATTAGTTGGATCGACAACAAAATAGACATAAGCTGATATCATTTAAAGGAAAACTACCTATCTTGACATACTTAACTACCACATATACATATTTTATCTCTACTTTAAAAATATTACATAGAATAAAACTTTTTAAAAAATATATCATATTTAAAATATAAAAAAATCAGATACACAATCCCTTTAAAAATGATAATGTATAATTATCTTAAAATTACGTCTCCTCAATTAGTAGGACACTAACAATTCAAATTAATTTCTCTTTATTCTTTTCAGCCGTTTCCCTCCTCAATCCCAAAACAGATACCTCACGTATCCCACCATTACTACAATTACAAAATTGCTATGGTATGATTTCGTTATTTTAGAAAAACTTGTTAGAGTTAATTTGCAAAGATTTTGTAAATCCGTTTGGATTGTTAATTATTCATCAATTAATTCTTTAACTAAGGAGATTATTTACACCCCTTTAATTCAAAGTAATAAATCGTGTATCTCGACTTGTAAAATCGATGGATACATGTATCTCGCGAGTAATGATACATGTATCTCAAGGCCGAAAAATTTGAAACTTTAAGATACAAACTAAGTAATTAATGAAGAAGATTAAGTTTATACTTTCTCAAAAAATGAAGATTAAGTTTATAATTATAAAATTATTATGATTTATAAAATTGTTAGATACGCAAGGATCCTCCTGTAAATGGGTTTTTAATTATTTATCAATTAATCCTTTAATTAAGGAAATAAGTTATATCCCTTTAATTCAAAGAGACAAATCGTGTATCTCGACTTTTAAAACCGATGGATACATGTATGTCCCGAGTAATGATACTCCTCTAATTATGGAAATCAGTTACAACTAATTAATATAAACAAATAAAATATGTATCTCGGTTTTAAAATTCGGTGGATACATGTATCTCGCAATATGAATAAATTTGCCATAATTTTATAGTGTATCTCGAACAACTAAACGACCTGAAAATAATGTAGTACATATACATGAGAAAAATGTCTATAGATTTTATAGTGTATCTCGTAAAAATATTATGTATCTTGAATTTGGGTAGCATATATGATTAGTAGATTGTTGTAGTTTGCATTATCTCTCAAAATTATTCCATCAATTCTACAGTTTTCATATTCAATTTCAGATACCCATGAACCGAAATGCCTCAACAATACGGTGATATTCGTCATAATAAAAAAAAAATCGAAAAATTAAAGGTTGAAAAGAATCTTAATTTGATGAAGAAGATGAAGAAGTTCAGAAAATAATTTGATATATAAATCGTTGATGATGTAATGGAGCCATGAATTACGTTATGGTTGTTATATCTCCCATAACTTACTCCTTCAATTAAGAGATTATCTCCCACGATTAATTCAAATTAATTAAAGAACGTGTATCCTATCTTTTTTAACATGTATCCCTCCTTTAAATTTTAATAGAGTCATGTATCTTAGGAATAAAAGTGGTATAGGAAGTAATATTGAAAATTAACGGGATTTCTAGTAATTGGGATGTAAAGTAGTGGGATATATGTAGTTTACCCTTTATTTAAATCATAGGGCGGAACTAGAATAGAAAAAAAGATAGGTTTGGATTGGTTTAGTTTTCTGATCACGAAACGAAGTATAAAAATAGAATATTATATTAAATTAATTTGTCAAAATACCTATGTCAATTATATATTTTTATGATTTGTTAAGCTAATGTGTTTGCAACTTAGAGTTCCACTGTCAACAATATTTATTTGAGTTTTGATTATTTCCTTATCTAATATTTATATCATTTAGAATTTTACGATTAAATAATCACAAGACGATGTGTTTTTCTGAGAACTGAAGACTTTTTTTATGAAATTTATTTCTGAAATGAAAACGTAAGACTTTTTCCATGGAATTTTATTTGATGCAATATATTTATTTTTGCTTAATGTACTAGCTATCTAGTAAGTAGTTTTTATTGCTCTTTTTATTCTGTTACTAAAATTGCCTATAAAAGGTGACTAGTATTGTTGAATTAAGAAGACAAGGAGCAACTTCTTGATGAAATCTAGTTAGGGGAGAGATGTCTATATTATATCTTGGTATTAAATGCAAGTGAAGAATAGTATATACAAAAGATAATTTTGAAAAACTCTTGATGGTAGATTAAAAAATCATCTAACACACAAAATGTGAAATTCTCTATGTCAAATTTTAACACATTTTTGATTTGTTGAATTTTATCATTTGAAAATAAAAAGAACCAATTTTTTTTAACATTCTTAACTTATGACTTTTAACTTATAAGCTACTTTTAAAAAGTCAATCCAAATCTCCTCAATATCTTAGAATAGTTCTTAGCCGGCCATCTTTTTATACTCTTTAAATTTATTTGTTCACAAAAAATAATAATTAATTTGTAGAGTAAATAATTAATTACAATTAAAAGAAAAAAGAAAAATCAATGTATGGAGATCAATTTACATTAATTTTTTTATTATAAAAACCGACCTCCAAAAATTATTTTTTTAAAATATAGTGTCTGATATGCTTAATCATCTCATCAACACCCGTGGAACCTAGTAAAAATGATCCCATTAATAAGATAAAAAGCTCATGCACATGTAATATTTATATTCTCTCAACTAAATATTTCTTGAAGAATAAAATGCGTTAATTTTTTAATATGCATTATCTTGAGAATGGAAAACTCTTATACAAAGAAATTCTCTTTTTAATGGGTTTGAATTCGAGTCAGTAGATTTCAGACATCAAATTAATGTAAATCTATTTTCTTTTTGTTAAAATATTCTTGAAAGTATTAAAATTCTGAAAATATATCAATATTATAACAATAAATTATGCTTGACTAAAATTTTAAAGAGAATCTCTTTTCACTCTTTTTTTTTTTTAACTTTTGAAAAATAACTCCTAGTGTAGTACTATTCAAATTTTTTTATTTTTTTTTGAAAGCTTGATCAAATATTTTAATTCTCTAATTAAAAAGATTTTTTATGCTTTGCCTGAAGCGCAGCTTAGTTCATGTTTTTACTTTATAGCCACCAAATATTGTAAGATGACATTTTAATCGTGTAAAGTTCATTCGGACCCTTCCGCGGCGCCGCTCGTCAATTGCAACCACTCCGATACTCCGCCGTGGTTGGTTGCCGCCGGCTAGGAAAATTCTTCCTCTCTTTTCAAGTCAAGGTCAGTAACAACTGTTGACCTGCTCTTTCTCTTTACTGGTCAGTTTTTATTTAGAGACGAGAGATTCATCTGTATTAAGTATTTTTTTAATCTTTACTGAGCAAATACTGTAAGATCCGAAGCTATATATGTAAATTGTATCGTTGAAGTCTAGTTGTCCCTCGGAATTTGCAATTGAGTGAGTTGCCGAATAATTACAGAGCATCCGGATTTTATTTGACAGCTGATGTTTTGATTGAATAAATTTCTGTTCTTAACTGTCCATATAACGTCAGATCCAAAGCTGTATATACATTGTGTTTCTTAAATGCTAGCCATGGACCATGGCTGTTTCAGGAATTATGTACAACTTGTTACTTCCTCAGTCTATTTTTACTTGTCCAACATTGACTTAACACACGCAATAAATAGAATGACAATTTTGTTATATTACCCTTTCAATAAAATAAAGTCAATAGTTTGGAAAATAAGTATAGATAATAATAAGGGTAAAACCTTTGGGGTGGCCCAGTGGTTCGAGCTTGTGACTTTCATAATGGATATCTCAAGTTCGAAACCCCTTGCCAATGAAAGCAAGAGGTTTGCCTTTTGGGTTGAGTTCGTTACACCGGGCTTGCCTAATGCGGGTTACCTCTCGTGTGTGGTTTGCGAGCTGTTGCATAGGAGTGGGGTTTTACCTTGTGCGCATCCAAAGGTAGCGGCTACAGGTTTTCCCTTGTCATAAAAAAAATAATAAAGGTAAAATGGTAAATTATCTTTTGATTTTCTAAACTGGACTAGTAAAAGTGGACATCTTTATCAAGTGTAGTGGACAATAAAAATGGATGGAGAGAATAATTTATAAGCATAACAGCTATTCCTAACCTGTAACTCTTTGTACAGTATACTGACTATACTCAATTTGGTCAACATATACTATTATCTCTGGCATTGCACTAACTTATCTGCCTTGTCAGAATGATGGATTACAGAAACAAGCTAGTCTTGGCTCCAATGGTCCGAGTGGTAAGTACCTTCAAGTGAAATTGAATTAGAGCAGTCTTGTTTTGGTACTTCATGTTCCCATTTCTAGATGTGTGTGGCTCTTTTTAAATTCACCTGGAAGCATAGTTAAAACTGCTCTTAATGTGTTTTTTACTTTATTATATGATGTTTTTAAATGCCTGTGTATGCTTCATTACTTTTGGTCAGGGTACATTGCCATTTAGGCTGCTTGCTGCCCAATATGGTGCTGACATAACCTATGGAGAGGAGATTATTGATCATAAGATCATCAAATGTGAGCGGCGAGTTAATGGTAATTTCTTGTTCATCCTTTTGCATCTTTCGTCTGTGTTATCCTTTAACATTTTTCATTTAATAAGTAAATACATACTACTTCTATTGAAAGAATGAAACCAACAGTTTCTAAAAATGCCTAGGCACCAAGGACGTGACCAGTCTTGTTCTTATTCAAGACCCTTTATTTGATGAATATAACCTTGCTCTGAATGTGCTGTATATGTCAATTTGAGTACTTCTATATTTCTAATGGATTATCAGATTTAATGCTTTTATGTTAATGAAAGAAGGATGTGAACTCTGAATTTCATCATGTTATGGCTCTCTCTATCAAGAAAATGAGCCTTTTAGTTGAAGAAATTTGATGATGAGAAGTTTTACCTGGATCTGTGGCTTAAATGAAATATTTGAGAGATGATTGAACATTTACTGATGATAGTTAATATCAGAACTTTAAAACCTTGAACTGAATATTTTAGTGTGAGTGTTGATTGCCCCTCGAATACCAAACAAGGGTTTGTAAATTATTATCTAGGTCGTGCATATTGGCATAATATAGATGACATCTGATACCTGATTCAGTAGCTTTCCAAGCAGAAAAGATTTATTCAAAGTCATTACTCTGTTTTTTTAAGGAAGGTAGTATGTTATTGACTTAGCAGTTAGCACTATGCTTTATGCCTTGCAATTTTACTTTACATTTTTATTTTTAGGTATTATGAGCATGGATGAATAGGATTCATAGTCACTTATGAAAAAGAAACGAAAAGATAAATATCATAGTGAAGCCTGCCTTTTGATGCAGGTTACCTAGTATATTTGAGATGGCAAAAGAAAAAAGTTGCTAAACTCGATGCATCTAAAATATTTCTCATGAGTTTTACCCCTTATTCCTTAGATGTCTTAGGGACTACTGACATAGTGGAGAAGGGAACTGATAATGTTGTTTTCAGAACGTGCCCCGAGGAAAGAAATCGAGTTGTATTTCAGATGGGCACTTCTGATGCCATGAGGGCTCTCAAAGCTGCTGAAATAGTGTATGTTCCATTCAGTTCTTTCTTTTTTTCTCCCTTATCATAACTAATCTTTGTACTTTAAATCCTTCTGCTCCCTTCCACCCCCCCTCTCTCTCTCACACACACAATCTGTTTTTCACATGGTCATACACACATCCAGTCTTATAAACAGACAGATTGGATTGGATGCCTATGATGAAATTACACTCTTGTCTCCACTTGTTTTATTTTCAATATGCGTCTTCATTTTTGGTGATATTTCTTTTAAGTAATGTGATGCATTATGTAGTATATCTCTCTTGGTTATGTAAGAACTCGTATGGTTGAATTTATGAACAGACAAGCAGTTTCTCTAGCGAAACCAGATACCCCCACCCCCATCCACACCCAAAAAAGGCAAAAAGACATTCATCTTGAGCAAATACAAATGCCATTAATTAATAACTCCTTTCCGCCGGTTTGGGGGTCCTAATAAGTTTTGTCTTTCTCTCACTGAGTATAGTGACACCTGCATAAGTCTTCTTGTGCCATGAAACATTTTCTTGATAACAACACATCCTATTGGGGTTTTTACAAGGGGTGAGGTAGGGTATATATGTCCTAATTTCCATACTGAACATCAAGGTTAGAAGTGGTCTTGTTGGATTTAAGAGGTAGACTTCATATATTCCCGTTCTCTATATTATACATCAATGTTAGAAATGTTCTTGTTGGAGTTATTTTACTAGTTTGCTTGAGGAACTGTCCTTTTTCTTTGATGAAGTAATGTGTTTTGTTAAAAAGCATCAAGAAGGTGCAACATACAAAAGAAATCTGCTAGCAATTACTAGTAAGGTGAAGTTGCAATTCCTTATACAAAGTGCTACACCAAGTCTAGGGAGTTTACAATCTGAAAAAATGGTCGGTGCTAGTTACAGACTTACAGGTGTCAACTTTATCCGGCAAAACAGACTTAGCAGACACTTTGCTTTGAGGGAAGAGTTTAGAGTTGAAATACCATCAAAGCATCTACTGTTTCTTTCAATCCACAGACACCAAAAAATTTACTCCAGGAATCATTACCCAGATCTTCTTGATGACCTTGTCAACTCTCAAGTGGCAGTGTGGAACCAACTTGAATAAGCTTCCCTCACATGCACAGGCATCATCCAATTCATCCCAAGGAGGAAAAATAGAAATTGTTGAGGAACTGTTTTTGAAGCTGGACTCTGTGCTTTTGCTTTTCATTTTCTCAATGATGTCATATCGTTTTCTGCATTGGAAGTCTAGATTTTTAAGTTTTTTCATGTTGTTAGCAGTATTTAGAATCGACCTTTATGACATTAATTGGATGATGGATATAGCTGATGTTCGTTTATAAATAACAGGCTTGTCAGAGTTAAATTTACTAATGTTGAAGTGCAACAAGCTGCAGTTATATGAATTTGCTTCTTTAACAATTTTCTTTATATTGAATAGCTATCATAATATTCTGTGAATTGCATTCTTGATTCAAGGTTCATGATCTACTTTCTTAAGATAGTGAAGAAACTTCAAAGCACATGCTTGAGTTTCTTTGCTCTTTTTAGGTCTTCACTTCTGACTTAGTCATGAAAGCTTAAACCAGCAATTATGCTTGATATCGGTAGGAAGTTAGTGCATCTGATCGAAATATTTGATGGTCTGTCCCTTTTCAGGTGTAAAGATGTAGCAGCAGTGGACGTAAACATGGGATGCCCCAAGTCATTCTCTATTAGTGGAGGCATGGGTGCTGCACTGTTGAGCAAACCAGAGCTCATCCATGATGTATGCATTTATTGTTGCTCCTTCACCAGTAGGCGAATTTCCTTCTAATACAGCATAGGAGTGTATGTCCTGTTCATAATGTTTCCCTTCTTCTGAACTCAGATTTTGACAACATTGCGGAGGAACTTGGATGTACCGATAACATGCAAAATTAGGTTATTAAAAGATCCGCAGGATACAGTGGAATTGGCACGACGAATTGAGATGACTGGTGTCTCTGCTCTTGCTGTCCATGGAAGGTACATGATTTCTGTATATCTGCTTCTCATGTTCTTTATAAACTTAACCTTGTGCTCTGTCATCAATCAACCCTTTGAATATCCAGTAATCCAGATTGCCTACGTCGATGGTCAAGGTATTTCATATAGTTGTTGGAGTAATTTTGTGAAATGAGGTGGGGCTTGCTGTAGATTCAAACAGTCCACCTTAGAAGCGAGAGAAGAACCATTTAGTCTGCTTCTTGGTTATATTGGAAAGTATTGTCTGTTCAGTATGTTATTGCTACTTTCCCCGACTTCTCTCTCCTTTCACTTTTTGTGATTGTGAATTTTAATTGATATTGAAGTTTCATTCTGAAGATGCCAATTCATGAATTACTAACCACATCTAGGGTTTACAGGATTGTTTTAGGTTCTGATCTTCCTTCCATTTGCTGAGGGGTGGGTAGGTTGGTGCACATAAATGGCTTTCCGTGAATTATGTATGTGCTATCTTTATGTGTAGTCAGTGCTAGATGATTTAAAATACAGAAATTGAACATGCTATATTTGGAAACGATGTCAAAACTGATTTATTGAGGGTGCAATTTGACAATTCTCTCGGCAGCTACTCTTACTATGTCTCTGTTACCACAGAATATGGTCATGGCTCATTTTTGTTTGTTTTTTGTTTGGGATAAGGAATCATCACTGGTTGCTTGTTTGAGATTTCTCCTATTTTGGGCTTTTAACTTGAAGTCGAGTGATATTAGTATTTCCTCTGACTAGCAAATGTGGCATCATTGTTGATTGAACTACAGGAAAGTTCCAGACAGGCCAAGAGATCCTGCAAAGTGGAATGAGATTGCTGATGTTGCTGCCGCTCTCTCTATTCCGGTTATAGCAAATGGTGATGTTTTTGAATATGAGGATTTTCAACGTGTTAGAAATGTAACAGGTGTGCTTGTACTTCTTATAATTGCTCTTTGTTCTCATATTGTTCTCGGATGAATCAGTTTGCACTTTCTAGGTGAATTTTTTTAATTTGGATATTAAATAGATCTGAGTGTTTGGTCCAATATGACAATAAAATTATATGTTATGAAGATAAATGTGTCTTTGTCGTCCATATATGGGTATATATGTTTGATTTTCATCAGATGTCCATAGGTTTAAGGAAATGGAATCAAATAGCTTATATATCTTTTGATGTGTGCATTGTGCTAAGGCACTTGATGGTTCTTTCTTGTAAAAGACGTATACAGACATTTTGTATGCAGCAATTTTCCCTTCAATCAATGAGATAACTAATTCTATAAAAAAAATGTAGAAAAAAGCTTGAATTCTTGCTTCTGCATATTTCTTTCTTTTGCTGTAAAGAACTGTGGATGCATTTGACAGTCTTGTAGATGCTTGCAGTTCAGGCCCTTCCAGAAAAGCCGTCACACCAGTTTCGGGTCCTCCAAAATGTGTTATATTTGGAGGAGATCTGACATGGGGTGAGGTGATATTTTTAGAGGATCTGGGCAACATAGCCTCCAATTCAGAAGTTATAATCTGAGAGATGCTGTTGCCTCAGAAATACAAAATTAATCTTTGTAGGCATTCTTCCTTGTGACACATCAATCAATGAACAATCTGTATGTGAAAAGCATTGTTCATATTAAGTTGATGATGGTTTTTCTATCTGTTTTATGAATATCTATATGGTTGTTTCTGCTTATGTTTTGCAACATGTAGCAACTTTATTTTATAGGTGCTTCATCTGTGATGGTTGCAAGAGGAGCCATTTGGAATGCTTCTATATTCTCTTCTGAGGGAAAAATACCATGGGAAGATGTCAAAAGAGAGTATGTGAGAAAGGTATTCGGCCTGTGAACCAGATGTGAATCAATCTCTTATTACATGTTAAATGAACTCTAAATTAAGTAGCCACTTTGTCCATCCAGCATATAAATGAAATAGACTAAAATATATACAACATTTGTTTGAAATTGAAGTCATTGACGTCCTATATGCTTTTCACTGCAAATGTAAGTAACAGGTCTGGGTGCTTTGATTTCAGAGTATATTGTGGGATAATGATATCAAAAGTACAAAGCACACCCTGAAGGAAATGATAACGCACTATTCTTCCCTTGGGCGCCCGGAGGGGCTGGCAGTAATTAAATCAGATACCTTGGCAGATCTAGCGTAAGTTTTTCTATCTGCTGCCGTTACTTCCACCCGTAGTTACATGTGTTGGGATTAAATTTAGTTGCTGTTCAGTTAGTTTCAGAAGTAAGTTGTTCATGTTCTGATTCCTATTATGGGTAGTTTGGATGTTGTTGTCTGGTATAATGTATGACATCTGCTTCACCTCATCCCCTTGCTTTGTTTTCTACATAATTGCATAGTCTGCTCATTCTAAAAGTTGCTCAAAAGTTTCTGACTCAATAAAAACGAGGATTTAAATTGTGAAAAGGTGCATGAGGTTCTTAATCTTCTCTTTCATCCTTGTACCATTATCCACTTTGAGATTTGTCCAACATTGGCAGAGTTCGTAAGTCGTCCACAACCTTTACTATTATTTTCCATTGTTACAACTCTTCACATATAAGCTGTGGATGGATATAACTAGCCAAGTAACTATGATTGGACTAATTAGTTGTGAAATATGCTACATAGAGGCCCTTGTTGTTCTGGTTAGTGCTATATTTGATAGGAGGTAACGAGAACAAGGAGAGAAGAACATTATTTCTCTCATTTGGCAAAAAAACAGTTACTTATTGGAAGGAGCAACACCTTTTCCAACTCCTCTGTAAGTGGTCAAAAATGAGTTTGAGAGGGCATTTGGAAGATTTCATCCCTAGAGGTTTCTTCCTTCGATAGATAGCTACATGTAAAGCAGTACTTACTACTTATCCAAGATGATCTTCCTAATAAGAAGAGGAGGAAGATTGTGATTTTAATAGATAGTTCATGCGCGAACAGTAAGTAGAATACGCTAATGATCTTTCTTTGCTAAATGGGGTGGTGGAACATGTTCCTTTTGGGTTTGGGATAGAATTGTGTATTGCTGATGTCAGGTGATGTAATATTTATTTGTTTGGAGGGGTTATACTGTATGTACCACTGGTTAAGAATTTTGGACACTTGTCGCATGCATCATGTGGCTACTTCAAAAGAGAGCAACGGGGAATGTCTATGCGTAGTTTTATATTTTAAAAAATTGCTTAGTCAGAGAATGATACTAATAAGTAGGGAGTTGGTTGTATTATCTGTCTTGCATGCTCATTTGCTTCCAAGGCGCTTACGCCGACATAAAAGTCATGTCAACTATACTAAGATTCTAATATATGAACTCGTCCTCAAAACATATTTTCCCCTTCCTCTGGGTGGGTCTTCTGTGGAGAGCCTAATATTTAACTGACTGCCTATTTATTGTCTTTCAGGAAACTTTATGGCGAAGAGGAATACTACGAATATGTCTCAGAGAGTCGGAGGAAGCAGATAACATAAGATACCCTCACTAATCATAGAACTCAATACACCAAGATGTCGATGAAACTAGACAACCAGTTATAATTTATAAAGCTACTAGTGGAGTGTTCTGAAGCAAGAGATAGAGGCGGAATTTGCCCATGAGGTTGCTAATGAGTTGAAGAGTTGCGTAGTTCTGACTTCCTTCCGTGTGATGTGACTATACCGACTGATATCTCTTGTTTGAGTTTGAAGTAACATTCCACAGCCGCTGAACGAATCCATCAGTTTGAACAATATTCATTGTAGGCTATACACTAAATTGAACTAGTGGGTTACCTTACCTGCATAAACCAACACGATAGCTATGTATCCTTTGGATTATAAGGGGTACCCCATTGAAGTTTTTGCTTTATTTCCGTGGTTCATGTTGCAGACATCATTTGCAAATTTAATATATTTATGACTGAAATCATGTACAACTAATTTTTTTTGTAGTAGTATAAAGTCTAAAGACGATTTGCATTTTGATAGAACAAATCGACAAGGCTGCACACATACCACCTTCCTCAGACCCCATTTATGTGATTACATCGGGTATGTTGTTAAATAAACCCATCGACAAAAGCAGAAGAATTTCATACAAATTCCTTCTAGTGAGGTGTACATAAAGATCTTATGATTAAGAATTCCAGCAGGACAGAGATGTCCAACTCAAAGTTATTGCACAAGTTGCTATCTTTAAAGTTTTTTGAAATTAAATTTGCATATTTGAAAACTATGTAAGTATTATATGTCGCAATAATTGTACAATACAAAATATTTGAAAGCTATATGATGAAATGCAGACAAGGAAATACTCATTTTAAATTAAAGACATGAAGAGATACAGAAAATGAGTCAACTTACTTCAAAGTAATAATACACTTATATGAGCGCTCACTCACGTTATGTTCATGAGCCAGGACTAAATAGTTTTTAGTTTACATACACACAGTACAGCAAATTTTTCAAGATGAAGCAACACAAGGTTCTTGTGGTGCAAAATGGGTTAAATATGCATCAGCCAACATTTGGCCTAGTTTAACTTGAGACTCTGTTGTTAAATGGAGATTATCTCCCTTTAGCTGCAATCCCATGGCATCAACACATACAACATTTGGAAGATCAATCGCCTTTTGCGCTTCTCGAATCTTTTCAATATACTTCTCATCTCCTGATGCAATTGCAACCTATAGGACAATGCAATGCAGTTACAGAACATGTGAAAATGTACCACTACTTTGATCCATGAAATTCCCAACTACAATTGCCAAAATCCTTGAAAAGTGTTGCATACATCAGCCAGATTTGAACTGGCCTCGTGATTTTACGTAACACTCTTTATGATTTTCTAGGCTAGTCAGTTAAGTTTCACAACAACTGCATAGGGAAGAAAAGGAGTGTATCTTGGTATCGATCTTATTCATTGGTTTACTATCAAAACTTATTTATTGAACAAATGCATAAAGAACACTTACTTTCTAGTATTCAACGTTCAATGTTGAGAAATGCGTGATAATAATGTTACTTATTTCAAACATGCATCATCTAGGCTTGAAGCAAACTACATTAGCTAACCTGAATAATTGGCAGAGATGGCAGATGCAAATCAGCACGAACGTCATGTATTAACTTCTCCATATTAGCCTTATACGTATTGACACAATGCTGAGATAATGCATCACTCTCTCCTTGATACCAAAGCAATGCCTTGATTTCTCCTCCATGACTCATGGCAGCTCTAGCTCTCTTGACCATATTCACATACAAGTGTTGCCCGTGTGCCCACTCCTTTATCGCAGTTCCACCTACAGCACATGGCACTAACCCAATAGCTTCCACTCGGTCCTTGATTGCATTTGCAAATGACATTCCAGGTCCAACACCACATGTCTTCTTGGCATCAATGTCATGGTGGAGTGGCTCACGTGCCACCTCATAATGGAGGTGTGCACTAAGACGGAAAATTCTAGAAGCATCAGGATGGCACTCGTTTGGTACAATGCCATCCCAGTGATGCTTTTCTACTCCACCACGACCAGCCATGTTACTTTGGCCAGATAGAATGAATACATTTTTGGGGGAATAAGCTACATTTTCCAGGGTTGAGTCCATAGTTCAGAGTTCAAGATGCTGTTTCAGTGCTGTGATTGAAAGCAGTTTTTTCCTAACCTAAGATAAAGATGGTGAAAAACTCAGAATCCTTCAAATTTGAACTATCTATTTGTAAATAATTCTTCTAAATTCAACACCTCTGCTGCTGTTATACAGAAAAATCATTTATCAAAAAACTAAAGCAGATGCGAATCATATTGAATACCCTTCTTATTTATCAGAAGGCTGATGATATATACACTTACAAGCAAAACAACAGGAAAATCGATACGGATACATTCAATCAAAACGAATAAACAATCCATATGCTTTTATAGCAGAAACTGTGTTTTGACAAAACATAAACAACAACGCGTCAATCCCAAACGCCAGCTATATGAATCATCACTGGTCCATCTAAACTCCGATGCTGATTAATCCAATCATATATTCACTCTTTCCAAAAAAAAAAAAAAAAGAACTCTTTAAACCTCTTCCCCTTCCTAATTCCATCTTAGCATTTCATATCCAAAACTAGACACACATTGTTTGTTTTTTAACACAAAATCTATAGAATATCACCTAGATCGAGAATTATACAACTCGCAACATCAAAAAAAAAAACTTGAAAGCATAATAAAAAACAAAAAGACACTCAAGCCAATTGTTAGATTATTACTGAGAGATTAAATTCTACAAAGCATCCAAATACATTTAACAAAGCTTTTAAACAGCTCCTAAACCATCAATTGTTAGATTATTACCTTAAATATTACGGGAATACAACCTTTTTCCCATTAACATCAACTTACCCACTAAATTACACATAATTAATGAGATTCAAACAATGTACGATAAATTAACACAGAAAATTATAGCTGTCAATGCTAATGTAAGGGTTGATGAAGTTAAAATTTTAAAAAAATTCAAACTGAGGATCCAATCAATGGAACACCACATACAAAAAATTGAACTAAATCGGCGAAGCAAATCGGCAAGGGAGAGGAATTACCAGGGACTTGAGACTAAGCAAAAAATCCAAGTAAATTCTCCAAAGAAACTGAATCCGAATGAAGAATATAATAATTGCGGAGAAGATGAACAAAACGACGTCGTAAGGTCACTGATCTATTACGAGTTGTTTGGTTCATAAACAAACAGCTATACAGAGATCAACAAAAATAATGTGGAATTTTTTTATAATATAAATTTTAGGAATAATTTATGGAATTTGAAATTTCAACAAATATTTAAAAATTTTATTTATCATTTTTTTATTTTAAACCAGATAAATTGGTATGGAGTTTTAACTTATTTTTTGATTTTAAACTTAAAAATATTCATTTATAGTGTTAGGTACGGAGATTATTTTTTTTATATATAATTGTGGTATTTGAGTCAGCTTACGATCATCTCAACTAATTCCAGGAAATATCTGTCAGCTCCCATCAACACTTTTTTTTATGATTGCAATATATGATTGAGCATCTCTAAAAATTATTCAAATAAAGCACCACGTGATATACATGCTAGGTAGTATACACCAATTTAAAAACAAACTTAGAACAAAAATGAAATGTCTAAATGATCATTTTATAAGTTGATATAATTATCTTACAAACGGGTGCAAATTAGGCATGACCTTATGGTCGAATACTAAGGTTTATGTGCAATCAAAAAATCATCATTAATAATCCTTTACGTAAAAAAATGAAATTGCACTTAAAGATTTCCTTAATATTAAGTAATGGTTCTATTTAAGCAATGCAAGCTATATTGCTTACCTATAAACACATACTTAAAGATAATTTAAAACATAATCGGAACTATTGTAAATTGCCATAATATACGATTTTGTGTTAAAGCAAGATTTTTTTTCTACCCTCCATAGATATTTGTATGATTTTTATTGATTTTAGTTATGTTTAAGTTCAATCTCTCAGTCTTTACTAAAGAACTATCCATGTTCGTATAATTTTTATAAATTTTGATTGTAAAAGAGTTCAGCCTCTCATTGGGTCTTTATTAATGATTATCCACATTCTCAAACTTTTATCATATTTTTAAAAAGTGATCACGGACGACTTCTATTAATAAATGGCTAATATGACATGCGTTTTGATTCATTATTTGTATTTTTTTTTTAAATCGAGTTAGAATTTCAAAATATTTAAGAATATTTTACCAGAGAGTGCTTTCCTTCTAATGGGTCTAAGATGCCACAAATTGAATTCATTGAACCAATCATTTAAAGTTCTCAAGGCAAAATGATCATGCACCAATAGATAAAAAAAACAAACAAATTAATCTAAGAGTTGTAAAACATACTTTATACCTTTAGCTAATTCGATAAATTCTTCAATTCTTTTTCTGGAGATCTTTTATGATGCAAATTTTTTCTTTTTGAACCATTACATAATGAAAGCTTAGTACGCCTAACATCAACACAATTGGAGGTAGAAGAGAAGCCGAACACAATTAACAATTGAAAAAATAAAATAATAGCAGTAACAATTTATTTACATGTCACAGCCTATGACAATAAAAAAATAAAATAAAAATTATTCTTTGCTTCTCTATTTTATAATAAAAATAGTGGGAAAAAAAACGAAATAATTAAAAAAAATAAAAATTAAACTAACTCAATGCAGCAAAACCACCTCCTCTCATCATCTGCTTAAACTCTGCAAAATTAACCATTCCATCTCCATCAATGTCCACTTTGTTAATCATTTGTTTACAATCCTCTACCGTTCGTCCCTGTTTTAGCCCTAACGATGCGAGAACAGATTTCAATTCATCAACACAAATGAATCCATCGCCATTTTGATCGAACACATTGAATGCCTCACGCATATCTTCTTCTTCGTCGCGTTCATCCATGATGGTCTGGTAAAGCGAACCGAACTCATCTATGTCAACGCAACCGTCTCCATTCACATCGATCTTCTCGATCATCTCGATTAATTCCGGATCTGGTATGAATATCCCCATATTCTCTAACGAATCGTTTAATTCATTCTTCGTTATCCGTCCGTCGCCGTTCCGATCGAAGATTTGGAAAATACGTCGGAGTTCGTCTGAGTCCATTCTCTTCTGAATATGCGATTGAACGGCGTCGGAAACGGAAACAGGCGATTGTTGTGGCGGCGCCGGTGACCGCGAATGGAGGTGTTTTTGGTGGAACCAAGATGGAGGAAGGAAGGAGATGAGTTTTTTTGGGAGTAAGGAGAGGAGGATTGGGTTGAAGAGATTGTAAATGAAACGAGTTTTGAAGAA